ATTCCAGCCAAACTGCCCTATTTAATGTTCCTAAATCCAGCATTCCATTTCCTACCTTTGTGCCCTTCTCACTATTCATACAGCTATCGGCCTATTTCAGGACCTCATCACGTCTCACCAAAAAACAACAAAAAAAACCAAAACCAACTTCACAATTAATCTCCCTGCCTGAAGTCTCTCTACTCCTTAATCCATCTTCTAACCTTCTGCTGCCTTTCACAGAATGCTCCCAGCCTAAATTCCCAGACATATATCTCACTTTACTTTTCTTTATGCAGTCTATCCTTCAGTCAAAATGGATTATTTAGTATTTCCCGAATTCAAAATGGTATCTCACACTTCTAGGCCTTTGCATAGGATATCCTCATAATTGAAATAAACTCCCTCCTCATCTTTCAGAAAACTTAGTTTCATTCAAAGATCACATCAGGTGCAACATGTACAGGAAGTCTTTCCTGGTTCCCCTAGTTTGTTGGTGTTCTCTTCTTAAATTATTTTTTATTTAGTTATTTGAGTAAATAATGCATCCATCCAGTATACCATAAGCTCCTTAAGAGTGTAGGATTGTTCTCTTTTATCTCTCAGAACCTGACATTCTGCTGAGGTTAGTAAACTCTGAGAAGTAGCTATACCACATTAAAAAATAAGCACAAACACTTTTTGAGGATGGAGGAATACTGCCAATGGAGGGGACAGGAAAGGCCATATATAGGAGGTGGAACAACAGTCAGGGCTCTAAGAGCTAGGAACAAAGTGGGAGAGCGAGAACTCTGGATATAGGGAGGAGCCAATATAAATAAAGATATAGAGGCTGCATGCGTAACATTTTATATGACAAACAAGAAGGTCAGTCTGGGTGGAACGTAGAATATGGGGGGGTGGAGAGACAAGTAATATGAAATTCATTGGAAGAAAGAGATTGGAGTCATTTTGTAAGAGGACTTAAATCACAGAGGAGTTTGTGTTTTGTTCAAGAAGTAACAGAAAGCTGCAGAAGCTTCTTAAGCAAGGGTGTGACATGAGAAGGTAGAGAGGTAAAGTACAAGGGTGGGTAAGTTTAAGCTGGATATAGATAAGAATATGGGAAGAAAGAAGGAAGGGAAAAGTGTTTTCACATAGGTAGATGGGAATTCTGAATCACAGGGATTCAGGAGCAAGAGGTAGGAATTTCCTAGGCAAAAAGAGTACCAAGTAGGAAGAATCTTAAAGACTAAATCTAAATAAGTGCCAAAGTTCCCAACTAAAATGTTAGTGTGAAGAAGACCCCTCCCAGTGGCATCTGGGAGGAGGGGGAAATCCCTCAGCTGAACACAGCAGGAGAGAAGTGAACCAAGAATCCTGTAAAGGAGGCCTTTGCAGCTTGGATCACCAAAAAGAGACTCCTCAGCAGACTCTGGGCAAGTCACTTAACTTCTCTATGCCTCAGTTTTCTAATCTGTAAAATAAGGAAAATAAGCTCTGCCTATCTCATTATGAAGATAAAAGTAAAATGCTATCTGGGAAAGTGTGTTGAAAAGTACAGAGTCCCTTGAACCCTCAGGGATTAGATGGGTCACATCCAGACCAAGACCATTAAGAATGTGAACTGGATTATTATCAGAAAGCATTACATTCTAAAGTATACTTCTCATCTTTATGCTAAAAATTCTACAAAGTATAGGCACAGAGAAACCTTTTTAAAAAATATCATTACAAAATTTAAAAAAAAATATCATTACAACTATATAATTAAAAGCAAGCATCATATGCAATGAGGAGAGACTAAAAAAAGGGTCGGCAAATTACAGGGGATGCTCTGCTTTTTAATAAGAATAGTTTTTACATTAAACTTTATGTATTTTAAAACGTAAAAACCATTCTTAGCTACCAGGCCATACAAAAACAAGATGTGGTTGGATATGACCCATAGACTATAGTTTGCCAACTCCTGTATTAGAACTTTTCCCATTAAATATTTGAGTAAAACAAAGATGACTCTCAAACATAATTTGATATAGTTATGGAAATACTAGCAATAGCAATAAAACAACAGAAAGATATTAAAGGCATAAAGACAGGTTTTTAAAAGGAGATTAAATCAAATCTGACCTCAGACACATAACACTTACTAGCTGTGTGACCCTGGGCAAGTCACTTAACCCCACTGCCTAGCCAAAACAAAAAAACAAAAAACAAAAACAAAAAAAAAAAAGATTAAAAATTATCCCTATGTATGGATGACAATTTACATAGAAAATTCTAGGAAATCAGCAAAGATACCATTGAGACAATTAACAGCTTCAACAAAGTTTAGGCTACAAAACAGAATCTCAAACATCGACAGCATGTCTATATACTAATAATAAAACCTAAGAAACAATAACAGAAAAGAAAAATATCATTCCATTTTATTTATTTATTTTTATGCAATTGGGGTTAAGTGACTTGCCCAGGGTCAGACAGCAATTAAGTGTCAAATGATTGGTCTGAGGCCAATTTGAAATTAGGTCCTACTGACTTCAGGGCTGGTGCGCTCTCCACTGCACCACCTAGCTGCTCCAGGGAAATCTCATTCCATATGACTACAAAGTACATGAAATACCCAGGAGTCAGTCTATCAAAGCACATAAATCATTTTATAGATTTAATTCAGCTCTTCTTAAAAAAGAAAGAAAAAAAGGCTGGAGCAATATTCAGTGTTCATGTCTGGGTCATGACAATATAATAAAAATGACAATACTACCAAAGTCAACTTACACTTTAGTGCTATACTAATCAAATTAACAAAAGAATCCTTTATAGAATCTGATAAAATAATAACAAAATTTATTCAGAAAAATAAAATAGACTATCAAGGGAAATTACGAAAAGAAATAGGGATGAAGAGGGACTAGCATTTTCACATTTCAAACTATATTATAAAGCAGCAGTCATCAAAATCATCTGGTGTTGGTTAAAAAATAGCAATGAAGAGGCAAGGTAAGCAAGAATCAGAAACAACGAAACTTAATAACCTAGTGTTCAATAAAATGGAAACAATTATTTAGGAAAGATCTCTTTATTTGATTAAAAACTGCTGAGAAAACTGTAAAGCAGTCTGACAGTCTAAGACCAACACCTTACACTACATTCCACAATATATTCTAAATGGATACATGTTTTAATATTAAGGACCATATTATAAAAAAATTAGAAGAGAAGCAGGTCATATACTTCTTAGTGGACAATGAATTCTTAACCAAAGAAGGGATGGAGGCAATTACGAAAGATAAAACAAGTAACATGATTACATGAAACTGAAAATTTTAATGCACCTGGAATAAGAAGGGTAGGAGTCAAATGGAAAAAAAAAATCTTTGTTATCAAATCTCTCTGATAAGAGTTGGTATCCAAGATAAATAAACAAATAATAGGTATAAATATAAGAAAAACAGCCATTCCCCAATAGCTAAGTAGTCACAGGATATGAATAAACAGTTCTCAAAAGAACAATTTACAAACTACTAACAAACACATGAAAGAATGCTCTAAATCACTAATAATAGAAATGTAAATCAAAACAACCCTGGCGTTTCACCTCATATCCTCCAAAATGACAAAGATGATTGTGTCAGATGGCAATAGTCAATGTTGGAGGGATTATGGGAAGATAGTTACACTGGGCCACTGCTCGTAGAGCTATGAACTGGTGCAACCATTTTGGAAAGCAATTTGGAATTATGCAAATAAACTGACTAAATGTCCATAACCTTTGAATCAGAGATTTCATTTTACTGGCCCAAGAAGACCATTGACAAGAAGTTCCAATGTACTACAAAATATTTATAGCAGCACATTTTGTAATAGCAAAGAATAGGAAACAAAATAGATGCTCATAGATTGGAGAATGCCTAAACAATCTGTGGTACATAAACGTAATGGAATATTACTGTGTTGTAAGAAATGGTGAAATGTGATCAATACAGACAAGCATGGAAAGATTTGCATGAACTGATGCACAGTGAAGTAAGGAGAGCCAAAAAAACATATACCCACAGTAACTACAACAATGTAAAAAGAAACAAACCTACACACATCAAAAGTCAATGTCACAAAACTGTAAAAAACAAGCACGTTTGAAAGAAGAGCACTGAAGGGACAGCTAGGTGGCACCAGCCCTGGAGTCACGAGGAATTGAGGTCAAATTTGGCCTCAGACTCTTAGCTGCGTGACTCTGGTCAAATTACTTAACCCCAATTGCCTCCAAAAGAGAGAGAGAGAGACAAGAGACAGAGACAGAGACAGACAAAGAAAGAGATCTAAGAAGACACTCCCACTTTATTCTTTTGTAGAAAACAGACCCACAAGCGGTGCACATAACGCACACTTGTATTGATTGGTTGTGCTGATTTTTTTCCTCTTCTTCTTCTTGTTTTTAAAAAAACACTATTTATTATATAAAATGGTTCTTTTGGAGGTAAAGAGAGAGGTAAGAAAACAAATACATCAATACAACTTATTTTTTTAAAGTATTATACCCGCATGAGGAACAACTGCTCTATGAACAAGGCTATATGTTAGGAGATTTTCCTATCCATGGCAAAAAGTTCCTCAAAAGGACCAAGGGATATGTTATTCATCTGATGAAATGGATCCAGAGACACTCTGTCCTTTGAGAGCTATCTTCAGGAAGGGAAAGAAAGGTTCCTTGAGGTCTCTGCTCTGAATCAGGAGATCACTGAAATGGATTCTGATATCAAAGAAATGCTGAAGTTCTAGATTTTGCCAATTTGTTTAATCTACAAGTTAACTACTTAGCACACAGCTGAGATGAACTTTAAAACACCAAGAGGTGCTGCTTAATATCTGTTGTTGCAATTTTTTCAGTAAACTTAGGAATCCTCAGAAAAAAAATAAATACATCAAAAAAGAGGGTGATAAGGAGAAATGTAAGAGAGAAACACTGAGATTGCACCATGTCAACATTCACTCTCTTCAAATCTAAATCTCTAAGACTATTTTTTTCAGTTGAAAACACTTACCTGCTTTTCACTGTGATCTACCATGACCTTCTGTCCCTGACTGTTCTTCCACCATATGGGCACATGTTCAATGTTCAAATCTTCATCAGCAGAGGCAAAGTAATTTTCTAAGGTCTTGCACACTAATTTGGCCCTTGTGAATCCTGCTTTCCCTTCTGAAAGGACAGAGTTGACCATGAAGGGTGTGAGCTTGAAAGGATTCAGTTTCTTCTCTATCTGGTACCTATAATGAATATCCAAAGTTATTTAACAAATAGTAAACTGCAGTGTGTGTAAGGTGTATAATAGAATATTGGGCTAGGAATCAAAAGACCATAATAATTCCTAACCTGTCTTCATCATAGTGTTGTCAAGGTCAAATGAGGATATACTTATACTATAAAGAATTGTATTAATCAATTCTTCAAATATCTGTGATTTAATCAAAGTCAATTTCTTTTCTCCACAACGCTTCATTCTTCCAGAGCAACTATGACCAGGGGAAAAAAAGAAAAAGAATCTGTTCATGAACCTCCCTGAACTTAGAGAAATTGATCCTCAGGTAAAGAAGCATGAAGCCCATGTCAGGTCCATAGTAATGTAAAGTTTTGAAGATATGTGTCTTTCTTAGACCTTGCAACATTCTGGTGTCACTATATTTCACTGAAGGGTAAGTCCAGGCAATTTACAAGTAGGAAGGAAAATGGTATGGCTTATGTCACTGCACAGTGAGAAAATCTGAGTAACTTTGTTGTTGCTATTCAAAATGTAAGAGGACTGAGATGGTGAGTTACTGAATCTCTCATTTTCTATTCTCTATTTATAAATAAGGACAATGATGTCAAACCTTCCACTTACTACCATAGTTACACATTATCACAAATGTCATATACATATCACATAAATTATATGTTTTACATATTATGTCTGCATATATTATATGTACAAAAATGTAAGATAGTAATAATTTGCAACAATAATGATGGTAGCGACAATACGTACAGCCTTCCTTTGTCTCTGAAGGCCATGGAGTGAAAAGTTTTGCAGGTAACATTGCTTGGGAACATGTGCTCAGCTTGCTTTGCAACACTCTTGTTGAATGCAACATATAGAAATTTTCTGTCAGACCACCTCTCAGCATATTTGACAAGGGTTGAGGTCTTTCCAGTGCCTAGAAACCAAGAGAAAAGTTTGTATATTTCTGACTATGGGGGGAAAGGGAAGCTTACCCCAAAAAATAGTTCATTATACTATTAATTACACTTCATTATCAATTGAAATCAGTATTTATTTGAATGTTCATGATATGCAAGGTGCTATGCTAGATATGGTCAGAAATATCTTTGTGTATAACACTTTAAATTAATCTGAAAGTTCTGTATCAAAAAGAACTCTTTATAGACTCAGAAAATGTTAGCCCTTAGGTACTTAGAGGTGCTTTAACTAATTACCCCCAATTCATAGAAAATGAAATTAAGACCAGGAAGCTGACTGGAAGTTAGTCATTTTAAACCTCAACATAACACCTTGGTAGAGTAGAAAGATCACTGGATTTGGAGTCAGAAGACCTCTGTTCTCTGACTTTCTACCTAAATGGCCCTGGCAAGTTAATTCACCTATAGGGCTCAGTTACCTCATCTGTAAAATAAGGATGTTGTTATATATTCAATTCAATAAAGACTTATTAGGCAGCTATTAACTGCAAGTAAATCAATCAACAAGAATTTATTAAGTGCCTACTATCTATGAGGCACTAGAGATACAAAGACAAAACCTTGCTCTCACGGAGCCAAGAGTGTGCTAGTAAATGTTTAACAACCAACTCTCTACAAATGCCAACATGTTTTTAAATTTAATCTGTATTATTAACAGATTATTATAAACTAACTTCTCCAGTAAGCAACAAGATGGAGGACATTTTCTCAGATTTCCATGATGTCTCAAATTTGTCCAAAACAGAAATTATGTGCCAAAGATAAAACAACTTCAGCAATCTCCACGGTCTAGGTCACCCAGAATCCAATTGTACTGAGAATTACAAATCCATTCACACAGATCTCTGCCTTCCACACAAAAGAAAGAAGCACAGAAAACACGTATGACTGCATACCTCAACTTGGAAGGTTTGGGGTGGGGAGGGGAGAGAAGATTAGAAAGTAAATTCTCTAACCTGCAAAAGCCATAATTTTCACCACCTGGAGAGGTTTGATCTCATGGCTCAGGATCTTTTGCTGTTCATGTGTTAGCTGAATGGTCACTTTTTTCCTGAAATCAACAGAGAAAAACTAAAAAGAAAACGAAGGGATTGAAAATAATAATATACATAGACTATCCTCTCCCCCTACAGAAAAAAAAAAAAAGCAAGAGGACAGGGGACTTGTAAACATATACTGACATAGAATCCTTTTTTGCAAGCTTTTAGTATGAAAAATGGAAAAAAATATCTACCCTTGAAAGGTGGAGGCTTCCTCTTTGACACCTGTGGCCTGAAATCTTGAGTTCTCCTGAAGGTATAGGCAACAGGAGATGTTGTAATGAATCCTGATTTAAAAAAAAAAAAGATATGGTCAATTAATTGATTTATTAAGGTCTGGGAGTCAGGAGACCTGGGTCCTAGTCCCAGCTCTGCCACTAATTTACTGTGTGTGACTTCACTGGGCAAGTCACTGCCCCTCTCTGAACTTAAATTTTCTCAATGAATAAAAAACAGGTCAGGGTAGACGGGATTTCCAAGATCCCTAAAAGATTTAAAGTTCTATAAAATATTTCTTAATATTAACTCTTTTTCTAGTTACAGTTCAAAAACATAGTATTTTCAAAATGCCCCCCAAAACCTTAAATAAACACACAGCAGAAAGAAACAAATACCTATCAAAAAGAAATATTTGAAAAATTTAAACAAACAAAAAAAAATCTGGCCAAAAGCACAATCCTAGAGCAACGCATTCATCATCTAAGACCATAAAAGGGAAAACTAAACAAATGAAGCCCTCTAGGAATTTCAACAGGAGCAAACTTTTTGCCTGTTTAGACTATAGTACTGGGAGTAGTCTCTTAAATGGCATCTCTGCCTTTGTGACACTACAAGACAACTGAGTGATAAAAGTTAGATCTGAAATTTTGATTCTATACCTAGAAATGCAACACATTCAACAATTTTATCAAATATTTATTAAACTAATATTGTGTGCCTGTTTAGCTTGTTTAGTTGAATTAAATTATCAGCTACTGTATTAGGCAATAGGGATACAAAAATGAAGATGCCAGGCCTTACTTTCAAGGGACTTAAAAGCTAGTGGAAGGTAAAGAGAAGGACATTTTGGAATAAGACATATACACTAATCCATATCAAAGCAGAAAGTGATAGGAAAAATGGAATTATCCAAGTAAATATTCTAAGAAAGCTTTAGGGAGAAGAGGTCTTTTCTGACTTGAGGTGACCTGTGCAGACAATTGATAGGAAGGATTTCAAAAATCAGAGAAGATATTTAGGTTTTCTTCTACAGGCAACAGGAAGTCATTAACAGTTTTTGAGCAGGGGAGTGACATGGTCAGATCTTTACATTAGAAAGAGTGTTTTGACAAATGTGAGGAGGATGGAGTAGAGTGGAATGACTAAAGGCAGACATGCCATTTAAGAGACTACTGTCAGTATTACTATAGTCTGGGAGCAGTCAAGTAAAAGCAGGACAGAAGAATGCCACAGAAGCCAAGAGAAAAGACCATGTCCAAGAGAAGGGAATTGTCAAGGGTCAAAACCTGCAAAGAGATCAAGGAATATTTGGCCTAAGAAAAGGTCATTAGATTTATCACTTAGGAAGTCACATTAGAGAGAATCTAATTAGATAACCCAACTGGACACAGGGCCTGGGAGTAGTTCTGTTGTTTTCTGACCTTAAAAGAAGAACGTAAAGGGAAGTGAAAAGGAATAAAAAGGGAGGAGGTGGAAAGGAGAATAAAGATGGAGAAAATTATTTCACATAATTTGGGTGTGTAAGTTAATACCTTTAACAAGGAAAAATGGGAGAGAGGAGCAGGCAACAGTTGAACCTCTCTCTCATCTGAACTGGTGAAAGGAGAGAATACACACACAGTTTGGTATAGAAATATATTTCACTCAACAGAAACAAAGGAAGGAAAGGGGAGAAAAAAAAGAGGAGCGGAGGATTAAGAGAAGGATTAGTCTTGAAAAAAACAAACTCTAAGCAGCGTAGAATTTGAAAAGAGGCTTAAAATAAAGAAAGGATAAGAACCAGTTACTGGGCTCAGGATAAGGGAAAGAGAAGAGAGGCAGAGGGGAAAAGAAGCAGATTACACCAAACCTAGAGCACTGGCATAGGGCACACTTCTCTCTTAACACCTTCTTCTTTATAAAGAGAGATTGGGAGACAAAGAGAAGGAAAAATATATAAGAATAGGATGGAATATGAATGTAAACAGAGTGAAAATAAACAGAAAAGGATAGCAGAATGAATTAGAAAGCAGAATCCAACAACATGTTCTACATGAAAAATACACTTGAATCAAAAAGATGCGCACGGAGAAGTAAAATAAGGAACTGGAACAAATTCTGTTTCGGCTGAAGTAAAAGAGGCAAGGATAGCAATCACCACTTTAGATAAAGCAAGAGCAAAAATAGACCTAATTAAAAAGAAGTAAACAGGGAAACTACATTTTGCTGAAAGGTACTACACAATGAATTAGTTTCAATATTAAACATATATGCACCAAAATCCTAAAAAGGAAAAGTTAAATAAGACAGTAAAATTATAATAATAAAAGACCTCAATTTAGTCCTTTCAGACCCAGAGAATCTATTAAAAAATAATAAAAAATAAGTAAAGGATCTGAAGAGTATCTTTAAAAAGTCAGATGCAATAGACCTCTGGAGATTACTTAATGAAAAAAAAGGAATGTAAATATTCATAGCATCCTCACAAAAACTGACCAAGCATTTGGTATAATAACCACAAACAACCACACAAAAGCAAGTATTTAACACATCCTTTACATCTTAAGGCAATAAAATCTATATGCAAAAGAGAGTCTCTGAAGAAACTGTCCAAAATTTAATTGGAAACTAAATAACTTAATCATAAAGCATGAGAAGTCAAAGAACAAATCATAAGAACAATCAATAATTTCGTTAAACATAATGACAACAAGATAACATGCCAAAATTTGAGGGAAGCAGCCAAAATGATAATTAGGGGGAAAATTATCTTATACACTTTCATCAATAAAAGAGTGAAAGAGTTGATCAACAAGTTGGGCATGCAACTAAAAAAACCCCCTAGAACACTAAAAAATAAAACAATCCAAAATGCTAAAACAGAAATTGTGAAAATCAAAGAAGAGATTAATAAAAATTGAAAACAAAAAAATTTAATAAAATTAAGCTAAAAACAATAAAATAAATCATTAGTTAATTTGATTTTAAAAAAAAGAAAAAGAAAACCAAATTGCCAGGAGCAAAGGAGAATTCACAACCAATGAAGAAGAAATAAAAGAAATTATTAGGAACTATTTCACCCAATTATATGTCAATAAAAATAGCAATCTAAAATAAACAGGTAAATATTTACAAAAATACAAAATTTCTATATTAACTGATTAATAAATATAGAACTTAAATAACCCCATCTCAGAAAAACAAATTGAACAAGCCATAAAGGAACTTCCAAAGGGAGGGAAAAAACCCTAGGATGAGATGGATTTCCAAGAAAAATCTATCAAACATTTAAATAACAATCCTTAACAGTATATAAACAGGAAAAAAAAAAACAGGAAAAGTAGGGGTCTTACCAAATTCTTTCTATGATACAAATATGACCTTGATACCTAAACCAGAGTCAAAATAGAGAAAGAAAACTATAGAGCAATATCCCTCATCAATCAGCTGATAAATATTAATTGCCTAAAATAGCATAGCCAGCCACTATGCTCAGTACTGGAAACACAGAGAAAGGTAGAAGAGAATCCCCGCTCTATAGGAATTCACAGTTTAATTGAGCAACAATGTGCAAACAAATAGGTATAAATAAGTTATATATAGGACAAACTGAAAACAATCATTAGAGGGAAGGCACTAGTATTATGGGGATTGGGAAAGGTTTCTTGTAGGGGGCAGGACTTTAGCTGAAACTTAAAAGAAGCCAGGTAAACCAGTAAGTGGAGATGAGGACTGAGTTCCGGGCAAGGGAGACAGTCAGTGAAAACGTCCAGTCAGATGATATAACGCCTTGTTCAAAGGACAGCAAAAAAGGCCAGAGTCGTTGGATCGCAGTACATGAATATAAGGTGCAAGAAGTCTTCAAATGTGGGAGGGTTGGGGAGCATGGGAGGAAGGGTAGGGAAGGAGTCATAAAAGGCTTTGAACTCACAACAGGATTTTATATTTGATCCTGGAGAGGTGAAATGAAGCCACTTAAGTTTATTAAGCAAAAAGATCATATGGCGAGAACCACACTACTTTAGGAAGATTACTTTGGCAACTTAGGAGAGGAAGAACTATGGTGAGGAAAGACTGAGGTAGAAAGACCAACAAACAGCCTTTTCCAATAGTCTAAGCATAAGGTAATAAATGCAGGCACCAATCTGGTGGTAGTACCAGAGGAAAGGAGTGGGGTATATATGAAAGATGTTATGAAAGTAAAATCAACAAAACAAGGCAACATGTTGGATATGGGAGTGAGAGAGAGTGAAGAGTCAAGGATGACACCTATGTTGCCAGCCTGGGTGACTGGAAGGATGGCAGTACCTTCAGCATCCAGACTAACAGGGAAGTCAGGAAGAGGGGAGTCATTGAAGGGGGAAAATAATGAATTCAATTTTGGACATGTTAAGTTTAGGATATCTACTAGATATCTAGGTTATTGAGGCTGCAGATCAGAAGAAAGATTAAGGCTAGACAAGTAGATCTGAGACTCAAGTATATAGAAATGATAACTAAAACCATGGGGGCTGATGACATCACCTAGTAGTAACAGGTAGAAGGGAAGAGGGCCCAGTACCTTAGGCTTAAGAGGGCCTTAGGGAACACTTACAGTTAATAATGTGACACTGATAAAAATATAACAAAAGAATTATCTCTCCCATAAAAAAGTGAGTTCCTCGGGAGCAGGGACTGTCTTGATTTTCTATGTGTATCCCTAGTGCTTAGTGTGGAATTTTGCACATAGTAACTGCTTATTCATTCATTCAAAAGACTCAAATGTAAATGTAATATGTAAATATTATTAATGTAAATGTAGTATGTAAATATCATATGTAAATAAGAGCTATTCTCTAATTGATAAATGGTCAAAGGATATGAACAGGCACTTTTCAGAGGAAGAAATACAAGTTATCAACAGCCATATATAAAAATGCTCTAAATCAATAGCAACTAGAGAAATGCAAATTAAAACAACTCTGACATTCTACCCTACACCCTTCAAATCAGCAAAGCTGACAAAACGGGAAAATGACAAATGCTGAAGGGGCTGAAAAAAAGCTGGTACATGAATGCATTGTTCATGAAACTATGAACTTATCTAGTCATTCTGGAAAGCAATTTAGAACTATGACCAAAAAACTATCAAACTGTGCTTATTCTTTAGCCCATTGATACCACTACTGGTTATATACCCCAAAGAGATCAAAAAAAAAAGGACTCATGTACAAAAATATTTATAGCAGCGCTTTTTGTGGTGGTAAAGTATTGTAAAGTAAAGAAGTACCCATCAATTTGAGAATGGCTGACCAAATTATGGTATGTTGTATGGGATGAAAAACTATCATACTGTAACAAATAATGAATGGGATGGTTTCAGATAAACCTGGGAGAACCTATTTGAACTGATGCAGAGTAAAGTAAGCATAACTAAGAACTTTATACAAAATAACAATACTGTAAAGACAATCAACTTTAAAAGACTTAAGAACTCTAATCATCACAATGACCAATCACAATTCCAAAGGCCTCTTCAGAAGTGATGGCATAGATGAGACACAATTGTTTTGGACATGTTCAATGTGAGATTTTTTGCATTTATGTTATAAGGCTTTGCTTTGTGGTTTTTTCACTTTCTCAACTAGACGGAAGAGATGAGTTGGGAAGGAAAAGAGAAGTGAGGAAGAGAAGGCAATTTTTCAAAAAAAATTTTAACTAAAAAAAGAATGTAACATACATTTTCAGACATGAAATGCACTGAATTGTTTTGCTTGATTATACTTATTTGGTAAAATGGAGGAGGTGGTTCTGGGGAGAAGGGGAGTCAGTAGGTAGTGACAGAGGTACAAAAAAAAGGCATCCATAAAATATTTTTTTTTAAAGAAAGCAAAACAGTTAAGAAGGAAATACAAACAGGATAATTTTTTTTAGTACAACATTAAATTTGATACACACTTAAAAAAAACTGTCACAGAAGTTCCCAGTAATTTTATTTAACTCCTTCATGTACTGAGATTAAGATTGATCCTTCTAGCATTTTTTATTGATCCTTTTTACAATTGATTTTGTCCTGTAATTGCTTTTATCCTGCTTAAGTCATAGTTCTCTGTCTCTGAACTTAGTTCAGAATTTAGCTGGCCTGTAATGGGTTAATTCTAGGAATCCAGCTCTCCTACTAATCACTGAGCTCTTCTTGCCTCAAGGAATTTTGCTAATCTTGGGGAATGTGTATGAAAGAAAGGGAGTCAGGTCAGATATTTTTACTCTATCAAGCTATCAAAAGTCTCAGCCATTATCCTGTACCTAGACTCAAACAAAGAGCATTTCTTAGTTTCGTGAGAGAAGGGGGGTCATTGCTAGCCCCCTTTACCAAAAATCCAATTAATCATATTATTCCCTGCACTTCAGCTCTATAAACAATCATACTGCCCTTAATTCCATTATGTCACCTGCCATGTTCCATACTCCCCAAAACCTATAAAAGGGGAGCTGTCCTTTTGCTCTGGTCACATTTACTGATAGGTAGCATGATCATGCTAATAAATGTTATCTTGTGCAGAGATCTGCCTCCCTTTTGTTAAATCTCAAAATCGACAGTACTGAAATGTCCACATTTAATGTATGATAAGCTTATAATTTTACAAAATGCAAATTTTAAGAAAGAAATGAGTGAATAGTAAGGAAAGAGAGGCAGTGAGTATAAAATAATTTTTTTTCCCCCAGAAGTCTGGCAGTGAAGGGATAATATAGGTTAAAACACAGCTTAAGGAGATAGCATCATCAAGTGAAGATTTTTTAAGGGTTGGGTAGACCTAAGCATATCTGAAGGTACAAAATACGAGACAGTAGATAGAGAAAGAATGAAAATGGAAAAAGACATGTAATGATCTTATAGCAGTGAAAAATATTATTTTTCCATTTACAGATAGCTGTATAACCTGAAAGAGATTTGGCCAAGTCACATAACAAGAGTTAGAACTAGGACTTGTGCTTCAATCTTTGGACTAATGTCCTGTGCACTATTCTACAGTGAAAAGAAAAATCTTTTAAAATCTCCTTAGGAATCTGATGTTCCAATTCCATCTCCATGTTTAAAGAAGCTTTCTAGGGCAGCTAGGTTGTGCAGGATAGAACACTGGCCCTGGAGTCAGGAGAACCTGAGTTCAAATCCAGCTTCAGACACATAACACTAGCTGTGTGACTCTGGGCAAGTCACTTAACACCAAAAAAAAAAAAAAAAAAAAAGGAGAAGGCTTCCACTAAATGAAAGATAAGGTTGAAAAATTTCAAATGTACAAACTTGGTTTTCTCAGCTAAAGAAATTAGTCCCCCTATCCCCTTTCCTTTTTTTGTTTTACCTGTTGCTAATCTTAATCCCCTTCTCTCTCATGGCATGCAGCAGTACCGCCATACAGTACAGGGTCTCAGTGATGTCTAATATGGTCACTGGGGAAGTGGGTCTCTTGAAACAGGATAACAGCCTCTGAATGTCACTCATAGTGCTGGAGAGAAGTATGATCGTTGCTATTAAGGCCCATACACTGATACCCTGTGGAACAGAGAACAAGAGAGGGAAAAAAGGATACAGGCTGCATTTAACAAAAGCCAAGTTAGTCAATCTATACCTTAAAGCAGTGTTAGGTTGGTGTGCTACCCATCAGCCACCAACCAATTTTACAAACTCTCTGTGTTAAAGACAAAATGGTCCTATCTCAACAAAGCCATGAAAGAAATAGGTGTTTCGTCCAATGACAGTTTTCAATTCTGAAACTGCATTTCCTCTTCTTTTCAAGCCTGACTTTAGTGGTACAATGGATTGCTGCTTTCATGTTTTTATGTGTCCACAGGACATTATTTCTTTGGTTACTTTATTTCAGCATAAGACCTTTGGGACCTTTGGATAAGAGGTCCAGTCTAGTACAATCAAGTAAACAATTACTGAGTGCCTATTGTGTGCCCACACAACAGAGGCAGTTAGGTGGTACAGTAGATTGAGTGCCAGGCTTGGAGTCAGAAGATTCACCTTCCTGAGTTCAAATCTGGCCTCAGATACTGACTAGGTCTGTAACCCTGGGCAAGTCACTTAACCCTGTTTGCCTCAGTTTTCTCATCTATAAAATGATCTGAAGAAGGAAATAGCAAACAGCAAACCACTCCAGTATTTCTACCAACAAAACCCCAAAATGTGCTCACAAAGAGTCAGACATGCCTGAAAATGACTGAACAACAATAACATTTTGTGTCCAATTAATTTCAACAAGCATTTATGGGTCTACTATAAGCCAGGCATCAGGGATAAAAATCTTCGCCTTCAAGTAACTTATAGATTCAGGCAACATAGGAAAGAAATAAGCATTATACAGTACCTGTTAGAAGCCAGGGACAGTGCTAAGTGCTTTACAAATATTATCCCATTTGATCCTCACAACAATAAGGTAAGTGCTGCTGCTTTTTTTTTACAGTTTGAGAAAACTAAAGCAAACAGTTTTAAGTGATTCGCCCAGGGCCACACAGCTAGAAAGTGTCTGAGGCCAAATTTCAACTCAGGTCTTCCTAACTCCAGGCTTAGCACTTTATCCACTGCACCACCTAGCTACCTCATATGAAAGAAGTATAACACAGGTGCCTTATAAGGAAGTTAAAATCGATTATTCTGTCACATTAAATTGTAAGCTCTTCATTACGGAGACAACGTTCAACAAATTAAAATAAAAGTTTATTAACATAAAATTATATGCCAAGAACTGAGGTACTCTGGAGGAGACAGAAATTTACATGAAGCATGTTCCCTCATTATTTATTTATCACACACATAGAAAAATAACCATTAGTACCTTTTCTCATTAAGATTCTTTTTTCTTTTTTTTTTTTTTTGCAAGGCAATTGGCTAGTAAGTGTCAAGTGTCTGGTGTGAGACCTCATTTGAATTCACATTCTCCTGACTCCAGGGCTGGTGCTCTATCCACTGCGACACCTAGCTGCCCCAATTAAGATTCTTCTTAAACAAAGGACAGAAAGATACTTGCAGACACAGCAACCAACTCACCGGAAAGCATTATTTTATGTTAACACTACTAAAAAGTCTCTCTGCTAAAGAATATACTCCCTGAACTAACTACTGGGTACCACCCAAAATTTCTTTCATAAAAATAACAGAGTTAACAATATGGTAGATTTTTCCACTCTAAGGCTAGTTGTGTGTAATTTCACAATTACACTTGAGAATACATTTCTAATTCAAATCAGAGAACCATAGGAACACAACTAGGCATGCTAAAATCTATTGTCATTCACTGTATGATCTAGGGCAATCAACTTAATTCAGAGAACACACATATCCCAGAAGCAGTAAGTGTTTTAGAACTAGAAAGAACCTTCTTCTAGTTCTTCTAGAGTTTGTCTAGTCCAAACTCCTCATTTTACAGATGAAAAAGCATAGGCCAAGAAAGGTTAAATGACTTACCCAATATCACACAGAAGATAAATTATCTGTAAACTGTCAACCAAGTCCATTAACTCTGGGTCTACTAGAGTCTGTAAAATCAGCTGGAAAAGGAAATGGCACACCACTCAAGGTATCTTTGCCAAGAGAAAAGCCCAAGAAGGGTCACAAAGAGTCGGACATGACTGAAATGACTGAACAAAAAAACTCTAGAGATTGAATGGTCTTCTCCCAACTCAACCCAAAGACAAAATGTTTTCTACTCACGGGCTTCATTTCTGGAACTTCTTTTACATTCCCTCTCAAATTACAAATGTAGCCCTGAAAGTCTTCAGGGACAAGTAGCAAAACTGAAACTCCGGCCTTTCAAATAACTGGAGCTCTCCAACAACTAAACAGATGTAATGATGTAATGAGTTCTCTATCACCACAGAATCAAGGATTCAAGCAGAGGTTAGATGAGTATCTGTCAGAGGTGCTACAGAAGGGATTCTGGCATTAGATTAAGGCACTATTAGAGAGTCTATTAGACTTCAACTCTAAAGTGCTATCATTCTACGGTCTCTCATTGTTTCACTGGGACATAGAGAAAACCAACTTCTAGATTATAGTATCAAAAACTTATCAAATTCAGGAAAGAAAGGTTTTGTAAAAGTACAAGGTAGTTTTAAGCAGAATTCATTCCCCAATATATACTCTTCTCTTTCAGAGAAAGCAATACCATCTTCCCCTATAACTCCCCAGAGTCCCTTTACATACCCCAGGAGCACTGTACAAATCAAGCATCTTGTGACGAAGGCATGCCTCTGCCTGAGGAAAGAGAGGATGATCCTTCAGGCAATACCTTGCCTCCTCAGGATTGACATGCTGAACATATTTGGTACCCACTGTGTATCTGGAGGACAGCCAAAAAACAGGGTTAATAAAACAGATGGTCATGAATGCCTGTTGAACAAACACAAGCCTGCCAGAAAATTTTTTAGTAATTATTCTAATTCTAAGTACTTTTGCTTAGAAAAAATCAGGACAGAAATTGAATCTGCCCTTACAAATCTCTCTCATACAAGGCATTTTGAAGTTACAACTTATAATATTCTCAGAGAGAAAATTCCACAACATAAAGCATAGTTACAGAGCTTAGGTGAAAGTTCTCTCAACATTTTGCTTCCATAAACAGAACAACTGCCACAACTCTTGACACATGCTGAACAATCATTTTCCTAAAACTCTCTGTAATCAATTTTTCAAAAGTATTCTTTCATCCCGAACAGAGGTCAACTAAAGAAACACTTCAGTTAATTTGAATTAAACAAAGACTTCTTCATTTCCTTAGTCTGATCATTACCTTAATCCAGTTATAGAGAAAAGGAGTACTATTCCTCTGTGAATTAATCAAGAGTCCCTCTATCTTGGAAATCACTACCCTAATTCTACCTTTAGAGTGAACAGAGATCCTTCCTGAACTTTGACTTAGTTTTAGAAATGGCTTAGAAAGATTAAGTATGAACCCCAAGAGATAGGAGATGACACTCCACCTCAGTCCTTTGCAGAGGTGGAAGATTCATGGGTGTGGAACACTGAATGTATTTTCAGATTTCACCAATTGGTTTTACTGATTTTTTTTCTCTTCTGCTTTCTTTAAAGAAAAAAAATTATTTGTTCTAGAGAACGGCTCTTAGGGAGCTAGGGGGAGAAATCCTGGAATAAATTTTTGTAATGTAAAAACAAAATAAATCAATAAAATTTTATTTTAAAAAAAAAAGAAGAAATGTAACTTTTAAAGACAATATTAAAAAGTTCTTCTGACTAGGATATGATTAAGTAATGGCAAGGTTTTTTTTCAGTCAGGTAATTCTGAAAAGGACTTCAGATTGAAGTACTCTCCCAATACACTTTGTAATATATAGTCTAAAATGGAAGGAGGTGGAAGAGGAGAGTATGCTTCTTTGGTTTATAGGACTTTCTGCATCGTGTTGGTTTGACTGTAGAATAGACTAGTCCAAGATCCCATTTTCCCCTGACATATCTCAGGAACGCACCGTATCAGGTTTAGCATACACAGGTTCTCCTCTTTTGATATGGCATAGTTCAAAAGGATATTTTCCACTTCACTGACAGCTTGTGCCTCATTCATCAGGTAACGATGGTACAGCTTTTTCCAAGGAATAAACTGTGAGACAGGGAATTTAAAGGTGACAAGAGAGCTCAGGACATCATAAGATAACCTACAGCTTAAGCCACAAGTAGAGAATGACTTCCCCATTACTAAATAGTCAGGAGACCTGATTCTAAACCTGGTATCCCCTCAAACTTCCTGTATAATCTTGGATAAGTCCTCACTGTGTCCTCATTACCTCAGTTTCCCAATCGGTAAAATGGGGAAATGGACCTGAGGCTCCTGGGACTACCAACAAAGACAAAATGAGAGACATGAAAGTTTCTGAAAGCAAAAACATTGTGTGGAAACAAGGCATTATTATTTTTCTTTTCTTTTTTTTAAATTGTATTTTTATTTTCAGTTCCAAATTTTCTCCCTTCCTCCACTCCCTTTCCCACCCATTCAGAAGGTAAGAAATATGATACCCATTATACATATAAAGTCATGCAAAATACATTTCCATATCAGCCATATGCATTGTTATTTTCATCCATGAAAATGCCTAACAGAAGATGAAAAGTGTTAGTTCTAGGCTACATTTTTTAAGAGGTAAGTGCAGAGCATGGACATCTTCTCAAAAAGCAGTCAGAGCTGAATGAAGAATTATCTCAAAAGGCCACTTCTTTCCTGATGAATTACATGACTCACACCAATTCAAAGTACCAGATTTAGAGGGTCAAAGAAATATAACACAAAATAATACTAATATTTTGAGCCAGAAAGAGCTCTTAGAAGCCAAAATTGCAAGGATGGCAAAAGTCCTATTCCTCAAGAATCTTAAAGCCAAGTTATTTTCCCTCAAATCCTTTGTGCTTTGTAACAATTCATCAAATTCACTTTCTTCCATCTTGAAACCTGTTCCTTGACTTTTAAATTTCTACATACATGAAGCTAGTATAATCTTTGTTTTGGATCCAGTCCCAAAGGTTACCATATGTGAGATATAAATTTGGCAAAATATCCTACAAGCCTTTGTCAGAGGCCAGGCAAAGCTAATCAAGTTACAGAACAGAATACAAAGTTACAAGAAATCTAATACCAATGTAAGAAATTCCATACTAATCTAGATTAATTGTTTATTAAGATTGGTTTGCTGAATCACAGAGTAGGATCTACAAATCTTTCATGGAGTGTACAGGCTGCCTCTCTGGCATCAATCTCAAAAAATAGCCCCCAAATAGAGACTAAGCCACTCCAATACTAAAAAAGAAAAGCACAAATCTCAGTAACAAGGGTCCTGCCTGAAAAGCAACCAATGGAAAAAGAATTTTCTGGCGACACTCCATCATATGCTTTTTAAGAAAAACACAGTTTCTTTCATTTCATGTCTACAGGCACCCTACTTACCAGTGGATCATTGATAATCTCCCTCCAAAGGTGGCACACCAGGATTAGGCTCTTATAGAGATCTTCCATAGGGATGAAACCAAAAATGTGTCTTAGGACTTCACTTGGAAGACTACAAATGTGGCTCTGGGGCTCTTGACTGGGCAAGTTTCCAAGAAGCCCATAATAAGGGTCAGGTTCAGGACCATTTTCCTCATCTTCTTGCTTAATTTGTCCAGGGTCCATTGGAACCTGGAATAAACAATTCATTTCCCATTTCATTTCCCCAAGATCTGTGGATTGGTCCTTGAGGTTTTTCTTAGCAACACTACCACACTGGCTTCTTCCTGTGACTTGGTTTCCTTCCTGGTCAAAGGAAAGACATCGCTTCCTAGATGTCACAACAGATCCCAAAGAGGATACTTTAGATTCCCTTTCGTGTTCTTGAGGCAAAGCACAAGCAAAGGCCATTTCGTCAGCAGCAGCATTATGTTCATTAGTAGAGCCACTTTGGGCCATGTCACTGGAGCATGATCGTTGACCAACTGGGAAGAAATCAATCACTCCTCTCTGAAATCCTCGTGCTGCATGGAGAAACCAAGAAAGAAGCAAATTAAATGAATGATGACTATCATTCTATTTCTGAACATCTACAGACATTTAATGCTCAACATAAATTTAACTACTAATTATCCATGTTAATGGAAAAGATTAGAAGATAGATTAGAACTGACTGACTATGGAAAACAATAAATCCATGTCATTTATATTTGACGTTAGGTACAGGAGGGCACATTCTGAGACGCAAACAGAACTAGTCACTCAATCAATAGCCATTTTTTAAGTCAGTCAATTAGTCAACAAAATGCTTATTATGTGGCAGGCACTCTCCTAGACCCTGAGGATACAAAGACAAAAATTAAACAGTCTTTAAAGAGGAGGCATTTGACCTGAGGTATACATGAGTGAGGAATCAATATCCACTGGGCACCACTATGTGGTTTGGTACTGTATACTGTACCATACTAAGGAACATTTAAATAAGTACTCAATAACGTGATGCAAACTGAGCACTTGAGTGCTGAAGAGAAAAAAGAATAAATAATACAGTCACATTCATACATTTAGAGCTACATATATTCAAGACCTGAGTCCTTTTTGACTTATTCCTGTTGTAGGAAACTCATGTCTTAGTGGGTCTTCCATGAAGAAAAGGTCTAGCATTACTATGGTTCAGAAAAGCACACTGGCTCCTTGTTAAACATTAAAATAGTTAAGATGTAATGAACAGGTGGAGGTGCAGCCAAGATGAAGGGATAAGAAGGGGTGTGGAGCTACCCTCCACAAAACTCCTTTAAATAGAGAATATGCAATAAACTGAATCCCGCTGGGGAAATCCAGAAAAAGGCCAGTCAATCAATTGTTCATCCAAGTTCAGCATACAGATTCAGAGAGGGAGACATTATGAACACTGGGGTCAGGCCAGGAGTATGCTGCCTATGAAACACTCCAGTGCACCACAGCAATGCAGACCCGTACTCCACCAGACTCATAGCACAACAATACAACAGGGACAGATGCCAACTGGCAACTCTGACACCCACTACTCATTTCTGAGTTACAAACCCAGGGTAGATTGAGGAGACCTGTACAGAAGAGTGGGATTCTTGGGGAGGTGGTGCCCAGGGCTGTGTTTAGAGAGAGAAATGCCAACAGTGACAGCATCAGCAGTGTGGCTCATACCACAGACTCAAAGGCTTATATCCAGCATTTAGCCCAGACTGCAAGGAGGAATCCCACACTGTAGAGAGGAATCCTAGACCAAAGAGGAGCCCATAATTCTGCTACACAGAACCAATAAATCTTTCTAGCTGGCTGATAAGGGCAGTGTCCAGCAACAGTCTACTCTTGCACAGATCCACACCCAGATCAAAAAATTGCAGAGCTCAAATCACAGGGGCAGCAATCACTTTGCACTCAGATACTCTGGAAGCACTGAAAGCTTGTAGGTCTCCAGACTGCCTCTGAGACCAAAGAAAAACACAGCATTCAATACTCTAAAAAACAACAACAGAACCAGCCCAGATCTTCCCTCCAGAAGTGCTGCAGAGTTCAGCTCTAACATCAAGTCTGAAGTTAGGAAGAATGAGCAAATAAAAAAAGGAATCTCTCAATAAACCCAAAGACCCCAGCTTCTGGGATAAGAACTCACTATCTGACAAAAACTGCTGGGAAAACTGGAAAACAGTATGACAGAAACTAGGCATAGACCAAAATCTTACACCATATACCAAAATAAAGTCAAAAGAGGTACATGATTTAGATATAAAGACTGATACTATAAGCAAACTGGGATTTACCTGTCAGATTTACAGAGAACAAAATAATTTATGACCAAACAAGAGATAGAGAATATTAGGAAATACAAAATGGATAATTTTGATTACATTAAATTGATTAAGTTTTTGCACAAACAAAGCCAATGCAACCAAGATTAGGAGGGAAGCAGAAAACTGGAAAAGAATTTTTATAACCAGTGTCTCAGATAAGGGCCTCATTTCTAAAACAAGTCAAATTCATAAAAATTCGAAATCATTCCCCAATTGATAAACAGTCGAAGGACATGAACAGGGAGTTTTCAGATGAAGAAATTAAAGATATCTATAGTAGTATGAAAACATGCTCTAAAACACTATTGATTAGAGAAGTGCAAATCAAAATGACTCTGAGGTACTACATCACACCTATCAAATTGGCTAACATGACAAAACAGGAAAATGATAAATGTTGGAGATGATGTAGGAAAACTGGAATACTAATGCATTGTTGGTGGAGTTATGAACTGATCCAACCATTCTGGAGAGCAATTTGGAACTATGCTCAAAGGGCTATAAAAATGTGCATATCTTTTGACTCAGCAATACCACTTCTTGGGCTGTATCCCAAAGTGATCATAAAAATGGGAAAAGGACCCACATGAACAAAAATATTTATAGCAACTCTTTCTGTGGTGGCAAAGAATTAGAAACTAAGAGGATGCCCATCAACTAGGGAATGGCTGAACAAGTTGCAGTATATGAATGTAATGAAATACTACTGTGCTATAAGAAATGATGAGCAAGCAGACTTCAGAAAAACCTGGAAAGACTTATATAGATTGATGCTGAGTGAAGTGAGCAGAACCAGAAGAACGCTGTACACAGTAACAGCCACATTGTGCAATGACTAACTTTGATAGATTTAGCTCTTCTCAGCAATACAAGGATTTAAGACATTTCCAAAAGTTTCATGATTGAAAATGCATCAAATCAAAGCATACTATCTGCTCTTTTTTTCTTTGTTTTGTTTCTTCTTTCTTATGGTTCCTCTGATTGCTTCTAATTCTTCTTTAAAACATGACTAATGTGAAAATATGTTTAATAGGAATGTATATGTAGAGCCTATATCAGATTGCATGCTGTCTTGGGGAGGGAGTAAGGCTAGATAATGAGGCAAAGACTGGACTCCTTTACCTAATCAAAAAAAAAAAAAAATCAATCTGGAACAGGAAGACCTTCAGGGTTTCTGGCTAAAACAGAAACAACTGCTATTTACATTCACTGTGAGCCGTCAGGGCCCAAACAATGACTACTAAGTAAGGCTTTGGCTGGGACCTATTGTTGGTCAATCAATGAGAGTCACAGTGATTTCAGTTTAAGGCATGATCCTTAAGAAATCTAGTCAGTAAATCCCAAGATATCTTGTGAGGTTTCAGTGATCAAAATTTATATTCCTTTGGACAGAGTGCCTGCAGGTATGGGTATGATACCCTATGTGGGACAGAGGGCTAAGGAGGAAAAGAAGTAACGGGAAGGGAAAGGGAAAAGAGGAAGAAAGGAGTTGTTTTGTCCAACTGGAACTGACCATTTGGGTCCCCAGTGGAGGAGCTTGTATTACAGGTTGTTGTTAGTCCTTCTCAAAGAGAACCATGTTCTAAAAGAGGACCATGATATCAGGAAGATGATATCATAACTTGCAAGTGAACTGGATTTAAGTGAGGAAGGGCTGTGCAAAGTCATCAGCCTTACTTTCTCATCCAGAGCCATCTGAGTCCAGTGACAAGATACAGATCAGGACAAGTGGAGATGTCTCTAAGATAATGTATGTAAAAAACTGAAACTTTAATGTATTTTATAAATCCAAGTTTTTCCTTAAAAAGCACAGATGGTAATTATTTCAGTTTAGGGAAAGATCAACATAGCCAAGACCTATTGACAGAAAATTTCACTAAGGAGATGGGCCTTGGACTAGTTCTTAAAAGTCAGGTAGGATCAGGCTGATGGGGAATAGGAATGAAAGCAGTACAGGGTAACAGCATAAACAAAAGTAGAAACGATTTAGGCATATTCAAAGGACAATGGACAGCAACTTGGCTGGAGCAAAGGGTCTTCTCTTAACACTTTGAGAATATAGACCTGGAAAGGACCTGAAAAATAATGTAATCTAATCCTCTCCCTCCTCATCTCTGCCTCCAGCTTCCTTCCAGATCCAGCTAAACATCTCTATATCTCCCATCTCTACAGAAGCCTTTCGTGATCCCTCTTAATGCCATTACTTTTCCTCTGAGACTATTCAATCTCATTTGTTTTCATGTTGTTTTCATGTTGTTTGCCCCATGAGACTGTGAGCTTTTTAAAGGCAGGGACTCTCTTTTGTCTTTCTTTGTATCCCAAGGGCTTAGTACAGTGCCTGGCACATAGCAGGCATTTAATAAATGCTTAATAATTGACTAATTATAATAGCCAGCATATCTAATGGTGCTTTAAAGTTTGCAAAGAGCTTACATTATCTCATTTGATCTTCACAACCCTGAGATAGGTGTAATTATTATCCCCATTTTACAGAAGAGGAAACTGAGGCAAGCAGAAGTTAAATGACTTGCCCAGAATCAAACAGCAGTACCTATCTGAGGCAGGATTTGAACTCAGATTTACTTAACTCCAGTGCTTTCTCCACTGCTCCACTAACTGTCTCAACATTATACATTACACTTGTTATTATAGAATCAAAGAAGGGTTTGCCCAAGGTCACACAGTACAGAAGAGATGAGATTCAAATCCAGCTGACTTTCCATTATGTCATATGTTTGAGACTAGAAGAAAATCAAAGCTGAATAATTGAGTAAGGCCAGGATGAGGAATGATTCTTGAACGATGAAGGCGCACGATAATATTATTGCACGATAATATTATTATTTTAAGAAGATTAATCTGGCTCCAACACACAGAATACACTGAAAATGAAATAGAAAAGGTTGCTGAGAACAGTTGGGAGGTTATCACAATAGACTAACCATGAGGTGATACAGGCCTACACTAAATTAAATTAGTTGCTGTATGAATGAAGAAAAACATTTTGGAAGAATGAATCATACTTAACAGCCTGGCAGTTAAAGGAGATGAAAGAGTGTGATAACTGTAAACTTTATATAATTTGATATTATATGTTGTAATGATAAAATTCCAGTATGAAGTCACTTAGGCTAAATAGTTCTGATGCCAATAAAGGAAGTGACCTTGAGAACTTCTCTATCACATCTGCGTCTGATTAGGAATGCTCCTCTCACATCTGACACAAATTACCTGTTTCCAACTAAGCCTAGTCTTAATTTCACCACCTGAACCCCAACTCTGAACATGTTTCCTCCCTAATATGTATCCCTCCCCCTCCTCATGCTAAATGAGTTTCTTACATCCATCGTGACAAACCTCTATTTATATTGATGTAGAGTATGTGCATATGCTTTGTTTGCTTGCCGCACTGCATAATCATAAAGTCCTTGTTTGTATCAGCTTCCTGAATACCAATTTCCTGTAAATTCCCCAATCTAGGTCTTTGCTGTAATTCAAATTTATTTATTTCTTTATTTTTGCTATAGGCCAAATAAAGCAAAGAGCATTCTAGAGTTTCAGTCTGAAAGAATGGTCAAACTGATGTGTGTTCTCCTGTCTCATTAAAGTTAAATTAGATTTCTTACATCCTCTTTTAGTTTTTAAAGTACAAATATACCTCTGTTTCCTTTTTTTGGTTTAGGATAGAGTCTCCAGTTCAGATCTCTACTTGTCCACCTTCGACTTAAGGGCTGGGTCAGAGAAAATGAGCCTTCCCTGCTTTGCGCCAAGTGTTTGCAGTCAATGGCTGTGAGTTGTATCCGTTTAAACTGTTTCACTGAGAGCAAAAAGAATAAAAGAATGGTATATTTATTAGTTATCACTAACTCAGCAAGCTAGTCAGGAAAAAGCAATCAAATCTCAGTTATCCAGTAGCTAATTATCCAGTTTGTGATTTGTCTTAGCCCTTTTCCTCCCTCTTTTGGCCATCTGGTTTCTAAGCATTACTTCCCTTCAAGAAAGAGCTGAGAGATGGCAAGATGAAGATAGCTGACTTTGTCATTTATTGTTATAATACTACTGGTAAATAATGTCGTTCCTAAGGCCAAAATGTATTCTCCTATCTTTCCCTTGTTAAATTCCTGTCTTCTTAAAAAAATAAGGGAGTTAAACTAGATGACCTCTGAGATCTCTCACAGCTCTAGATCTCTGATCCTCAAAACAAATAATTCTATAAATGCTAATCACGTCTGTCAGGACATGCAATGTTTCATGTCCATTGTTCCCTCCCTTTGCAAAGAGAGGTGGATGCATTTCTCATTTCTTTGGCCAAATTTGGTCATTACAATTAAACAGCATTCATTTTCTTTTTTTGTTCTTTCCATTTATATCAGTGATTCTTAATCTGGGCTCTGAGGGTTTGTTTGTTTGTTTGTTTTATTTTGGAGGCAATCAGGATTAAGTGATTTGCCCAGGGTCACATTTAATTTTATTTTGTTAACTGCTTTTCAATAACTGATTTCCTTTGTAATCCTATGTATTTCATTTTACATATTTAAAAAACATTCTCAGAAGGGACCCATAGCTTTTACTAGACTGCCAAAGAAGTCCCACGACACAAAAATCTTAAGAATTCCTGACTTATGGTTTCCTACCCATCTTTTAAAATCCAACCGAAATGTCACCTCTTGGAAAAAACCTTTCCTAACTATAACATTTTCCATCAGGGCTCCACAAAACACTTTGCTTTACAACTCTGTAATGTACTTACTATGTATTATTTGGTAGTCATGTTATGTGTGTATATGCCATATTACTCTACTAGGCTGTAAGTTCCATAAGAGGTGGAACCATCTTTATTGAAACTTTGCTTCTCCCCCAACATTTAACATAATACTATGTACAAAGCATAATCTACTAAATGTTTGCTGGATTGAATTAAATTGGGGTTAGCCATTAGCTAAAATGAACTTTTAAAAATTGTTCATGGATTTTCATTATCTATTTTATTTTCATTACCATAAACTCAAGAATTTATTGATAAGTATTAAAAATGAACCAACTCATAATCATCTTTACATAACCTACTCAGATCCTTCTATGTTAGCAAAAGCAAAAGTAATGAACAAGATTCTGGAGACTCTAAATCGAATGAAAGGTAGAGCTATATCTTATGTTTCTTTGTGTTTCCTCAGACACTAACATAGTACCTTGTACAAAGTACTCAATAAATACTTGTTCATTGAATGGTGAGCTTTGGGAGTATACATCATGATATTCTACTCTTTCCCTACAGGGCCTGACTAGGAGAGTTAAGACCATAAAAAAAAAAAAGGAAGTGTTATGGTATATAATCTTGCTCTAGACATTTTGTGTTCATGAAGATTCTAAATAATTATCAATCTAGCAAACACTAGAAGAACATAACGTATTCTTGAAACAAACAAAAATTTGACTGGTTACATACAAATTTAAACTGTAAAGTGATGTTCTCTATGCCTAGGGCAATTTCAATAGCCATTTGCCTTCAGTCCCCTGTGAACCATAGTTCTAAAATCAAACTGGAATCTTTAAATGCTACAAAAGTAGGAAATAGTTGTTGTTTTTTTAAGTTCGTGGGTTTAAAGAAATTTCTTTCTACAGCAATGAATTAATTTTATCCATAGGATACAAATTAGCTGTAAATCACACAATTAACAGGTAGAAATATGGATAATGTGGTAATAAGCAAATTACCTGTAGAGTCACAGGATCATAGACTTAGAGCTGACAGGAACCTTAAAGGACATCTAGTTCAACCCTCTCATTTTAGAGAAAAGGAAACTGAAGCCCAGAGGTTAAGTGACTTGTCCAAGGTCACAGAGGTACTAATATAAGTGTTTTGCACCCAAGTTCTCTGACCCTAAATCCAGTGTTCTTTCTACTATTTCACAATGCCTCAGTTAGCTACAAGTTCAGTTAAAACAAATGTAAATTTACTACAGTACAAATATTATGACAAGATTTATGAAATGAATAACCTGTCCAAGGTTTCTTTAAGCTCTAAAATTTTGATTATCTAATTCTAAAAGTCCAAAGAAAAAAAGCACAACTTTCATCTAATGAATAAAACAGATAACTACAGTTGCCAAAAATAACTAATACTATGCAATAGTGGTTAATTCATTCATTCAGATCAGCAGTCAATTAAGAAATACATCTATCAGCTAAAGCCCAGAAATAAAAAGGAGAAAATCAGGCTGGATTGGACTGGGGAAACCATGCAGGACTTTAAATGATTCCAGGCTGTTCCCTAACACACAAGAAAAAAAAATCTTTTTAACAATAAAATAACTGGAAATTATTAAACACCATGATCTCAATAAAGGTCAAAACTTTGGGTGTGCCAGGGGTTGTGCTAGTAGGTGAGGATATAAATACAAATAATACAACAACCCCTAAGCTCTCAATGGGAAAGAAAACTAGTAAATATATGAGTAAAGTACTACCCCTTTCACATATAAACAGTTCGCTGGCTGAAGTGTGCATAAAAGGAATTTCTTCGTTAAAAAAAAATGAAACCAACTTGCAAAACAGGGGTTCTTGGACTTGATCTAAAAAAAATTTGATAACCATATTTCAATATAAATGGGTTCTTCTGTAATCCTATGTATTTTAAAACATTATACTGATAAGTCCATAGATTTCACTAGAGTGCCAAAGGGGTTCATAAGACAAAAAAGATTAAGGAACGTAAGCCATAGCCCAAACAGTTTGGTTGTGAAAAGCGGCAGAAAAAGAATTTCTGTGTAAAACAAACTAATTAAATCCACTTGTGAGTAAAGTTTCTCCAATAAGATGTAAAAAGAGACACAGATTGCCCAAAGGACCAGGTAGAGGACTGCGTCTCAGATAATTGTACTGAGAGGACCTGTTTGAGGATTAAGAAATGACTGAGTCTGTGGGATTTTGTGGTCCTACTCATTTGCATATAATGGTGGGAGTTTTTTTTAAGTGTTAGAAGTTGGGACAGCTTGGTGGCATAGTGGATAGAGCACCAGCCCTGAGGTCAGGAGGACCTGAGTTCAGATATGACCTTAGACACTAGCTGTATGACCCTGGGCAAGTCACTTAACCCCAACTGCTTCGAGATACTGATTACTGATAAAAGAGGTAAATCAAATAACTGTTTGTTGTCTATAGGAAGATTACCGTTGGGTTTGTCTGACAAAAAGATAGATTTTGTTAGTTTTACCTGATAAGAAAAGGACTGAGGCAATGGAAGTGAAAAAGCCAGTTTCCAAAAGGTTGAATTAATTAAGAAGGCACCAACAAAGTCAGATTGTTTTTCTGGGAGCCTGCTGAATGGTTGGAAGCCACCACTTTACAGGCTGACTGAAGCAAAGGCTGGAGCAGGTGCTGGGAAGTTCACTGGACAACTGCTAAAGTCGGCTGCACTTTGAGCTATTACCCTCCATCTAGAGTTTGAGAGGTGAAACCTCTCAGAGTGGCTTGAGGGAAAAACAAAGGAGGAATGGCAGGCTGTGAAACTGAGTAAAGAATTGGTTGAGCATGTCTATATTGTTCAGAGAGCCAAGCTAAGAAGTTTTGCTATTAGCCTTCCTTTTTCGTTTAAAAAAAAAAAAAGAAGAAATTAAATGGGACAGCTAGATGGTGCAGTGGATAGAGCACTGAACCTAGAGTCAGGAGGACCTGAGTTCAAATTTGACCTGTGTGACCCTGGGCAAGTCACCTAACCCCATTGCCTAGACAAAAAAAAAAAAAAAAAGGATATTATTAAACAAAATGGAATCATACTGAGTGACAGGCTGGTGAGGCTTGTCTCCATCGGTCAGTCAACCTGAGAAAAGTCTGCAATTCTCTAGCTTAAGGAAACTATATGTCACTACAATAGCATGTCTTTCTCAGGACCCTGTGACTGTGCATTAAAAATTCATCACTGCTTCATTAACTCAAGAGCAGAAGAGGAACAAATATGCCTCACAGAAGAGAAGAAAACCAGAAGGGGAGCAGCTAACAGAGAAGAGGCTTTCTGTAGAGCAAATTGTTCCTACGGCAACCAAGGACATCAAGGCCTACAGTAATAGAGTTTTGTTAACCCAAATACATGAACTTTCCTACTCATGCACCTCCCTGCTAGATTTCTAAAAATGCACACCCATTCAACATCCAAGGATGAGAGAAATACTATGTGGATTGGGCAGTGTGACCCAAGTTTATGGGTGTATTTAATGTTTCTGCACTTGCTTTATGTTAATTAACTATATGTTATTATTTTTGCTTTTCCTTATCCTTAAATGTTTTATTTGTATTCATGGTGTCATAGTTACTATGTAAATTGGCAATTCTCTAGCTTAAGCTTAAATTCTCTAAACTACATATCATTACAATATTTTAACATTTTATCAGCACCCTGGTTAAGGACAACTGAGTTAAAAGAACTTGTCACTCCTTCAGTAACTCAAAAGCAAAAGAGGAACAAATATGCTAAAGTGGTTAATAATGTTGTTGTTGTTTGTCCTTCATTCTTGAAAGAGGACCAGGATATCAGGAAGGTGATGCCATGACTTGCAAGTGAATTGGATTTAAGTGAAGGAGGGCTGTGTAAAGTCCAGTAGCAAGATCTAGATCAGGATGACTGAAGATGGCCCCCAGTGAATAACGTATCTTTCCCACAAAAGGGTACATCAGGACTTGAAATAAGTTCTAGTTGTAGCCCTGTCATTCTGACTTTTCTCTGGTAACCCTTGATGTGCTGGTGTGAGGGGAAGTTTAGATAAAGAAGCCACAGGGGCTATAAATGATAAAGAGGATAAACAAAAAGAACATATGCTAGTT